GTCGATTTGAGTAAAATTATTTGGAAGCTGCGGAGATGTGGTTTTATAGACGAATGATGAGAATGCCCTGGACTGATAACAAAGAGTAGTGACGTCCAGAAAAAAACTAACTCACGGAGAGAACTGATAACTCACATCAGAAAGAAACAATTTAAATTCTTGGGTCACTCCCCGAGAAGTAGAAATCGTAAGTAACATTGTGACGGTTGGAAAGTTGTAGAGGTAGGGGGGGGGTTGAGAGAGAAGGATAGTCTGACATCACGGCATGGAGGATTATTTGTGTCAGAGTTGATTAAAACTACTCGAGGCGGTAAACTCTGGATAGACTTGACTACCAACGCCAAACGACATGGACTTTAAGAAGATCCTTCACGACCCATACAAACTTACCCACCGAAAACTTAGCTTGTTATACTTAGTCAAAAGTGTAATTGCTGCTGCATTCTCAAGGCCTAGCCGAGGGTTTATATTTAGGAATCTCGTGTATTCAAGCCGTGTATTGTGTAACTCCTCCACAGTTCTCTTGGCCACATATACTTCCTGGGTGTCCAGACTCAGCCCCACGTGCAGCCAACAGTTTGGACAAATGATCCAGTCAGTGCAGACACTGAACGCCCAGTTTGCCCTCAAATGTCACCTGGTCAGTTATGTTTACCCCAATATTGTAAATTATGTTCTATGTTTGTCCTGTCGCGTCTATTCTATAGCCATAACATTACTAGAATAAAAAAGTTTTAGTGACGGCTATATAATTTATTATGTCTCCATTAGGTTTAGTATTATACCTTTAGTCATGTCTGCGATACAATAATGATGCTGATTCCAGTCCAACATGACTGATGGGCAGCAGAACATTCAAACTTAAAGTGCTGTTTTTCCTCCATTTTTGTCTAGCCAAGGTTTGCTAATACACTTTCCACACACGGACTGGTCCACGGTTTCGTTGTCAAGAAACTGAACTACGTGTTTGGTGCAACACTGTGCATTATGCCCCTCGTCTGTGTCCGCAGTTTTGTTGTTGTTGTTGTTGTTGTTTTTTATGTTAAGAAAAATGGCGAGTGTTTTCGTTCGATCTGGTTAAATATGAAATACATTAATATTGCTCGAGTGCAACATGTCGTGACTACTACCTCCATTTACAATTTCATACACACGCGCGCACGCACACACACTAATCAAAAAACTGTATCTCCTAAACTAATGTCAATATACTATACTAGCACGGTCGAGCAAGGTGAATATTATGTTAGTGTACTAGAACGGAAAAGCCCTAAGTACTAATAAAAAAAAAAAAAATAAAAGAAAAATAGTTCGTTAGGCGGGGACTAGAAACAGAAATATTCTAGTCCAGATATGAGATCTGTGTAAAATCTAATAAGCCAGGCAACAAATAAACAAGGCACACTAACCACAAGTCCTAATCTGAACCAAAAATTACTAGAACTATAATTATCACATTGAACATCTGTTTATTTTACTTAAAATAAAATCAGCGTGGTCCACAATAAAAACATTAAAAACAACCAGCGTGCTCAACCAGAATCTAAACTGCTAATCATCTGCAGCTAACAAGGAAATATTATAATGACACCATACGCTTAGCGAGATTTTCTCAACAATGACAAAAACCGGAACATATTTAACATGTACGTTAAGCTTCAATATGCCACCAGACCAAAAAATCCTGCCATCAAACTATCTTCTAGCAAAGACGCACAATAGAAAACAATTCTAACACCACCTTAACAAATTAAACTTACTATAATCGCGATCACGAACCAGTCTTGCGTCGCTCAACCGGTCCGATCTGACACACCGGTGCATTGAGACTAAGTGCAGTCAAACAACGGCAGACAGGGCGTCTGACCATACAGAGCCGACCACAGAGCTACAGCCAAATAGACCGCTAAAAGGCTAAGCAAGGTCTTTTATTAACTGATTGCTGGCCAGCAATATATAAATGCTGTACCGAATAGTGATTTTCACTATTCGGCCGAAAGAGAATAACGAGACCAACTATTCGACCGAATACGAATACGAATACGAATAGTGTATAAAATATATCTTAAAAACTTATTCATAATGTCAAATGTACGCTGAACTTTTACTTCACAAAAAGTAGCACAGAATAGTCATCTTCTTCTTTAGCATTCTGAGCATTGGAGGTTTACTGCTGCAGATATCACTCTTCTCTATTCATCTCTCTGGTTGGCCTTCTCTTCACAATTTGTGATACCAGTTGTTTGCAGGTCTGGCTGAACATTATCTCTCGAACTTCTTTTTTTGTCTGCCTCGTGGTCTACGCCCATTCCTCTCTCAGGTGTATACAGTTTTTACTTCTCTGTCATTTGCCATTCCTTCAATATGCCCTAACAAATTTAGTCTGTTAGCTCTCATTATGACAGTGATCAATGGTGATTTAAACAGATTATGTGTTACGTTGTTGCTTCTCACTCTCAATTCCCCGCTGTTAGCATCTTTGATGGGTTCAAAGATTTGTCGTAAGACTGTTTTCGAAAACCTGTAATAAGGCTTCACCTCTTTTATTTCTGCTTCAAGTTTCAGAGCCATATAAAACGACTGGTCAAGGTTTTATATATTTTGATCTTGGTATTGCGAGACAGATACTTTGACTTTAGCAGATGTTGAAGGGCATAGTATACTTTATTTCTAGCTTGTATTCTAGATTGTATTTCTTCTCTCAGCATGTTGGAGCAGTTGAAGTTTGCACCCAAATACGTATATGTTTCCGTTCGTTTGATTTTCATATTATCGGCTTGGATGTGGCCGGAGTTTAGATTCTTTCCATGTCTAATTAGTATTTGTACAGAATAGTAAATGTTTAAAAACATGTTATGTTTTGCATCCTTCAGTCAGTCTGTGTTTAACTAATAACTAGAAATGATATAATCCTAAGTATTATAGCAAATAAGTAAATTGAGAAATTGTCACTGACAGCTTAGATAATACAGGAAAGCTGCATTAGATTTCAACAAAACCAATCGTTCCACGTTGTCAGTATTGAGGCCGTGTATGTAGAAGCAGATGTAAGGTAACTACTATTCGTATTCGGCCCGACTGCAACTATTTGGCCGAATACCGAATAGTCAATAGGTTCACTATTCGGCCCCGAAGCGAATATTCGGCACAGCCCTAGTTTAAACCTAGAGGATTGAACTGCCAACAAAGTTTCATCTAAAATCGTATAGGATTGAACTGCCCAAATAATCTTATCTGAAAACCCCCAGTTACGGCCCCTGGGGGGTATTTATTCTCCTGTCCCTCGTGTCCCGTCAGTTTATTGGCACGACATTGACCTGGCTGTTTCGAGATACTAAGCTAAGTGATTTTGTGTATTTGTGTGGTATTATTTATTTATGTGTGTGCTGATGAAGGCTACATAGCCGCAACGTTCACGTTTTGTTTGTGTTTGTTATATTTTAAAGCTTGCTGATATACTTTTGGCTCAGTTTTATATCTTTTTTGAAAATATAGGCTCATTACAGGCCACTCTTCTGTGAGGTTCAAATCTTTTATGATTAAAAATTTCTGGTCTTCATCGTTGTGTTTTCCTTGACAGTTTTTCTATTATATTTCTGCTTAAAAGACCTATTTTTTTCTTCCCTAATGACTGTGAGATCGTCGACGACCTACATCCGTATTTTACTACTACTTCATGACCTCAGAATTTTTATCTTAATTATTTTTTTCGAAATAAAAAAATGTTGTTTAATCTTCGCACTGCTATGGTCATATCCTTCTGTTGACTTTTGTTGAGCAGTCTCGATCGTTGTTTTTTATGGAGCAGATAGCGGATGTTAATATTCAAAATTTGTGACATTTTCAATTTTTCCTCAAATGGCATTCTTCAGAAATTATAAAGGTAAATATAAACACTTCAACGGAATTGCTACTCATATTGTTTAGTAAAGTCTGGTTTGATTACCATCAAACAGGAGAGAATGATATCTTGTGAAACTGACGCCCCCCCCCCCCCTCCTACAGAGAGTGCGAAAACTAGAGTGGAATTAATTATGTTGCTGTCAGTTCCTGGGAACAATTTGAAGTAGGATCATTTTGGAAAGACTAAAAGATTCTACAGATTAAAAGGATACGAGATGAAATGGCAGGTTTTCGATCATGCAGATTCTGTAATGACCAGGCAGCCACATTACAACTCTTCTTCTTCTTCTGCCTTTCTATCCCCCAATGGAACATAGGCCCTCAACCAACTCACACCAAGTCGTTCTATCCTTCGCCATTGCATGGAGCTCTCCCCATGTCCTCCCCATCTTTTAACTTCATTCACCAGCTCTCTTCTCCATGTGTTTTTTGGCATTCCTTTTTTCCTATGCTCCTGTGGGTTCCAATGCAAAGAAATTCTAGTTATGCCGTTCTCCTGTTTTCTCAGTGTGTGTCCTATCCAACGCCAGCGTCTTTTCCTCACCTCTTGGCCCACTGGAGCCTCTTAAGTTCTCTCAGCCTCATTACAGATAATAAAAATAGCAAAGCATTGAACTGAATTCACCATTTTACATTGAATTCTTAGATTATGAAAAAGTGTTTACAGCACTGACAGAGAATTTCTCTGGAAATTAATGGGGCACTATGGAATCCCATAAAAAAATATTAAACAGCACACAAGTAATTGTTGAGCCTCACTTGCTCTCCTCGTGTGTGTTTCCGGGTCCCATTGAGGTGGACAACAAGAATAGACCAACTGCCTCATCAACAAGCACGTAGTAGTAGTAGTCTAATTGTGAGCTTCGTCTGATGTCGGCGTGCATCTGTCCCAGCGGCAAGGAACAACCAATTGGATAAAAATAAGCAAGTAAAACGGAGGTGCACGCAAAACTCAAGCCCTACACAAATCCAAAGTTCAAATAGACTAACAATCAGGATTTCTCACCGGAGCTGACAGCCGGTAAATAAAGAAGAAGGAGAAGAAAAATCAGTTGCCACAAAATGTTTTTGTTGAAACAACCAATCAGATGTGCTAGTTATATGTCTAGTTTCTTGAATGTCCCGCCAAGTCCTTGCATGTCGGCATCTCCACTTTTGCTGACAGAAGTGCCGCTGTTCACGTTCATCTTCACGAAACCGAACTTGTTGTCTTCTTCAAACTGGGCGTCCGAGGCCAGCAGCGACTCAACGAATTCCTGTCACAGATAAATAAATAAACTTTAGGGGAAATAAAAAGAACTGAAGGGCATGAAGTTTGGTAATCAGTCTTCTCTTCCTCCTCCTCATTCTTTTTCATTCTTTGCGTTCACCAGCTGTAAACTGTGGCAGAAAGTCCTGGCTGTTCGTCCTTATCTGGAGTTAATTCTTGTTGTAGGATTTGTTTGTTGCATGCACATACGTTTTACAGTTCTGACATATTGTATGCAGGCTGTTAGTTCCTTGCTTCTCAGGCAGATGCACTCACACTTCGAAGAAAACCCCTCAGTTAGTTGACTCTTACGACAAACCTGCTGGGAAGGCAATGGGTCTGTTCTTGTTTTTCCCACAGTAGGGCTCCAGAAGCCACACTGGGAGCTTGGCACTGAAAGAAGTAAATCAATTCAGTGAAGAGTCTGTCCGTCTGGCACACCCAGTGACTGGTAAATTATCGGTCTTGGACGCCGACAGCGCGGCAGGCATTTTGTTTGATAAAGTTGTTTGCCTTGATTGTTCCGCGATTTCTCCCAACTGTGTATTTATTTCATGCATCTTGTTCTCATGTTCAAATCTCTCGTTTCAGAATAAGTAATATGCTGAAGCTTAATCGACCCCTCGCCCTACACCCCTTTTTACAAGGCGCAGCAGTGCTATTTTTGCTATAAATGCACACAACACATCCAACATCTTTATCAACGTCACCGATTAGGAAAACGACAAATGTAGCTTTTCATTTTTCTATTGTCTAGTTACCTTGACATTATGGAACAAACCGGGAACGAGGTAGTTCTTCTCGAGACAGATGCAAACTATGATTAGAGAGAACAGATGTAGACAATGGCAAAATTGAGTGCAGAAAAAGGGGGGGGGGGGAGGCAAAGGGAAGGCAAAGAGATAAACATTTCGATGGTTTAATTTAGTAGTATATTTTACCCCACGATAACATCACACAAGCGATAAACACCCGATGATACAAAGTGCCACCATGTGGATGAGGATCACCCGTGGAGAGGTCCTGAAAACCGCGTTCAGCCATTAGACCATATTTATGGCCGGGCTATATTGCCGCCTCTGGCAAGAGCCGGAGTAGGGCTTCAAATAACGAAAAACAGCATCCCACCAGGGAATGACTAGTTATCTCCAGGATATTCGATGGTTTAACCATACAAATACTGGCTAGAGAAAAGCATTTGATCGAGTGAGGTGGTGAAACCTGACCGCACACACTTATCAGCAGTTGAGACGATTACGATGAGCCGTGCTGGATTTAGATTTTAGCTCACCAAGCTGTAGCTGAAGGCCCCAAAACTGTAGGGGCCTCATATATTCCTTTTTTTTTTTGCTGTTCTTCACAAATACGATTGAATGAAGTCCACCCTTACCAGGACCGGGTACAACGATTGATAAGCACGTCACAAAGTGCCACCATTCGGAAGAGAACCACCCTTGCGCATTTCTCAGAAACCTCGTTCGTCCCTTGGGTTATATTGGGGCCCCCGACAATAGTCGGAGTGGGGATTTAAAATAATTTAAAAAAAAATTATGTCCCATATAGGGACGGCAACAGATAATAAACTAGGCAAAAGCAATTGTCACTAAGCATAGTTTTAAGAGGTACTGTAAAATTTCTTTGATTTTGCAGACACATTTTTTATTAATTATTTACTTATGCTTAAACAACAATATATGTCCACCATCATTACGCACTTTACAGTTTCTAAAATTAGCTGTTGTAATTTAGGAACTTGGGGGGGCTGAGAGCTTTAAATCTCTTGGAGCTCATAAAGTCTAAATCCGGCTCTGATGATGATGATGACGATGATGACGATGATGATGATGTTAATTTTTAGTTATGCCCCCTGATCTTAGTGCAGAAGTTCTCAAGTTCTGGGTTGCGCCCCATTATGTGGGTCGAACGACCCTTCACAGGGGTTGCCAAAGACAAGCGAAAACACATAATTAGTGAGGTTATGAAGTAGCAACGCAAATAACTGTATGGTTGGGGGTCGCTACAGCACGAGGGACTGTATTAAA